GGGGAGCGGGGGAGGGAGGACAAATGCACAGGCTGGCTGACTCCAGCAAGACATTTTGTAGTTTTGCCTCAAATCGTTGTCTAAAGAGAGACGGCGATCACTTTTTTTTTTTTTTTTCTTCAGAAAACGGGTAGTGCTCCCTTCTTAAAAAAAAAGTTCTGTGTCTTTCAAGACAGGTGCTGCCCGTATCTGTGGCATGTGCTTCTGCTCACCTGGCGGTTATTGCTATAGTCTGGCCTGCTGCTGCTGGAAAATATGTGGGGCCTTCTCTTCCCTTCAATCCGCAGTGGTTCTGGGGATGAGGGTGTGTGTGTGTCATACACCCCCCCCCCCCCATTTCAAACTCTCTCCCCTTGGGGGCCAAAAAGACGAGGGCCTGCAGAATTCCAGATGAATCAGTTCAGCTCTCTATCAGTTTTTGTGGAGCTAAAGCAAAATACCTCTCTATTTTTTTTAAGTTTATTTTTTATTGTTGACATTATTACAGATGTTGCCTGTTTTCCCTCCACTGCCCCCCTACCCCCCAGGCGTTCACCACACCGCTGTCTGTGTCCATGGGCTGTGCATATATGCATCCAAGTTCCCCCCAAAAGGAGGCATCCTTTGTTCTAGTGGCATGTTTTCCTTCAGGCCTGGTGCCCATTGATCCCCACAGTAATCCTGTCAGACGGGCACCCTTCCCCCCGTTTTGCAGATAGGGAAATGGAGGTGTATTCTTGTCAAGTCACACACACAAGGTCATGAGTGTGGGGAAGCCTAAGGTTCTGACTCGAAAGCCTTGACATGACACTGAGCTGTTAACTAGTTTGCAGGGAGCATCTGTCACCATTCGGGACACGCCCTACTGCCCAGTGTTCACTCACTCATCTTATGAAGGAGCGCTGCCGTCCACGCGTGCTGGGGACACACGTGTCAGGGGAGGCCTCTGTGCTCAAGGCGTGATGCGTCAGTCAGGGAAGGAGGGAGCGGGCACCAGCACAGGGACACCCGGGGCTGTGAGCACACCCCTGAGGGAATGCCGATCGCCCCCCCCCCGGGAAGGTGGGTCAGGGCGGCCTCAAGGAACCTTCCAGAGAGAAGGCACAGCCCTGCCCAGGCCTGGCAGGGAGATGGCGGGTCTGCGCGAGGAGGAGGCTCGGGTGGGCTGCGTGGAGCCAAACCAGGAAGGGCGACACTGGCCGCTGGCCAGGGGTGGGCTTTGGGCTGTCACAAGTGCTTGGTGGGGCTGTAGGCACATCGGCGGTTGAGAGACAGTTTTGCAGCTCACCTCCCTAGACAGGCCCTCGAATCTCCAGACGTTTGCAGGACAGACACCTAGCCCTCGTGGGCTGCCGGGTGTTGGTCTGTCTGTAGGCTGGTTCCCCAAGGAGAGAAGGCGCAGCACCTCGCTAAGGTTCTGGATGCTGGCTCCCAGGCCGCACTCGAACAGGGCTTCATTTTTCTGGCAGGGAGCTTCTTTCTTATTTATTCTTTTCTCTCTTCATTTTTGGTTTTGGGTTCCCATTTAAAAAACACCCCCTACCCGTTCAGCACATTCACTCCAGGCTCGGGACGGACGGACGGACGGACTTGGGAGGGAATCTCGAGGGGTGTGGCCACGCGGTTTGCGCTAGACAAACCGTTATAATTAGCACGGAAACCGCTCTTCCCCTGTGCGTCCCGTTACGTCCGGGAGGCCCCGAGGCCCCAATTAGAACCGAAAATTATAATGTTCACAGTTACTCGGAGCAATTTTTATTGTTCGCTCCGCAAGGGTCTCCCAGCCGGGACTCTGTCACCGCGCGGGGCCAGACAGCCCTCTTTTCTGGGTTTCCTGTGTATTGTAGCCCCCCTGGGCTCTCCCCAGTGATATCACCCCAACCGTGACGACCAGAAATTCCTCCGGGTGTCCTCAGAGTCCCCTGGGGGGCCGCTGTCACCCCAGGCTGAGGACCCCTAGTCTCAGTCACCTCCCGAATGTTGGCTTCTTTTCTTCGGAGCAGCGTGGGCTTTGGCAAATGCCCAGAACCCCACAGGACCCCAGATCACTCACCTGGAAACTGGTGTTCAGCGTATCTACCTTTCAGGGCAGTCGTGACATCGTGCTTGTCCCCGAATTGTCAGAAAAACCCAGTCACCTTTCCCCAGGACTGGCCAGCAGCCCACGGGGAGGGAATCCTTCCACCGCTCACGTGGGCCTGACCTCCGGCGAGGCCCATGGGCGGTGAAATTGCCAACCTGAGCTTCAGATAGGTACAAGGATTGGCCTTGACTGGCAGATAATTTGCCGGGCACTCCCCGTCGTGGTGTGCCCACAGCTGCAAGCCACATGTGATGCATCGGCGTGGCCCATGGGCTTTGTTAGAAGTTGATCTGAACCTTCCTCCCACCTCCTCCTCCTCCTCGTCTACTTTGCACAGACTCGGCGATAATCTTTATTTTTATTTTTTGGAACCTTGCTCTCGCGTCCTTTCCCACCCTCCCTGGCTTGCACAGAGCATAAATGGTTAAGGGCATTCGGCTCGGCTGCGGACTCCCCGGGCAGGATTGAATGAAACTGATAGCGCTAAAATTACAGCGCTCCAATCCCCCAAAGAAAGAGTAGCTGGGCGGATAGGAGGAGTGACCCCCAGAGGAAACAGCTGTCAAGGGCAGCTATTGGTTTATCTTTCACGGAAAGAGAGACAGAATGCATTCTCAATTAAGAGGAACTAGAGGCAGTGCGGTATAAAGGCCTGGCAAGGCTGGGGCAGCCCGTGCTGCCAGTGGAGACGGAAGGACTGCCGTCTCGCTGGCGTGCGCCGAGGCCCGGGGCGGCCTGTCTGGCCCGGCCGCCTCGGAGGAGGAGGGTGTTTGTGTACACTGCAGAGTAACGCCATTTAAAGGCCCGGGAGCCTACACCATGGGCGTGCTGACACTGCCAGTTTAGGCCACACACGGGGTGGGGGGCGGCCAGGCCCACATCTGGGAGTCAGTTTCACAGGCCCGGGCCCCAGAGGACCACGCAGGCTTCTCTGGCTCCTCCCACTCTCCCCCCTTACTCCCCTCTCTACCCTGTGGATATTTCTCCATCACCAGGCAGCAGAGCTTTATAAGGGAGGCTGTGGATCTGCATAGAAAGAGGATTTTTGCATGGAAGCTGATTCTAATAGAAACATGGCTCATTTACCTTTTAAATGTATGGCCTTGGCAAGTTATTTTGTCTCTTGGAGGTTCCCTTTCTTAATCTTTAATGCCCTGACTGGTGTGGCTCAGTGGATAGAGCGTCGGTCTGCGGACCGAAGGGTCCCAGGTTCAATCCCCATCAAGGGCATGTATACCTTGGTTGCGGGCACATCCCCAGTAGGTGTTCAGGAGGCAGCTGATCAATGTTTCTCTCTCATTGTTGTTTCTAACTCTCCCTCTCCCTTCCTCTCTGTAAAAAAAAAAAAAAAAATCAATAAAATATATAAAACAAATAAAAATAAAATGAGGACTACATGATACCTGGGAGTTTCTATAAGGAGCAGACATTTTAGAGTGATTTGAGTGGCGCCCAGTGCACGGCTCAGCATTGTCCCAGTGATGGGATTCGGTGTAACTGGAGAGAACTGAAGCTCAATGCGTCACAGAGACGTGGCTGTCATCAGTGAGGCAGGGAGTGGCAGAGCGGGACACGAGTCTGTCTGTGCTGACCCTCAGGACTGTGTTTCCTCTCAAGGGCAGCCGGCCACCTTTAGGATGCTACCGCACCAAGCAAATCCACCTGCTTTGGTGAGAACAAGGAATCGTGCCTCAGAATGAGGTTCCTGCATCCTCCTCCCCCCCCCCCCCTCCGATTACATGTACGATTGCCACAGTGGCTTACTTCACTCCATATCCTACCACCTGGCCAGGTAGTGCCTCATTTTCCATCCATCTCCAGGAAGCCCACTTGGCTTGGGACCACAGGTATGGTGAAAGATAAGATGCACCAAGGCAAATGGATTAACAGAGAAATAGTGTGGAATCGTAGGTGGTGAACACAAAGAAAGAATTAGGTCTTCTCTAAAGTACATTATTAATTGCGTTAAATTATTGATTCACCTTGGTTCACGAAAGGGTTAAGGAGAGTGGGTTACGAAGTGGTGTGAAATCCATTTGTTTTATTTCCAACGACTCTCCAGTGGCTTTGTTGAGGTACCTGGATCAGAAGAGACGCCGGGGATGGGAGAAGGACCCAGTCGTTCATTGCCAGGGTCTTGCCAGCGGCCCAGCGTGATGGCCTCCCTTCCATCACGACTGGGATTGGTCCCCTCTGTGCGGCCAAGGTCACGTGACTTCCTGAGCAAAAGGGAGCGCTCCCCATTTCAGCCACGTTCACACACTTCCACCTTTTTTAAAGTCTTTAATTAAAAACTGCCAAGATCCTTTGCTCTGAAAGAGGAATTGGGCTAAATACCCTATAATTAGCACACACCACCTTTAGAGTGAGATGTGTCAAGCGGTGATTAAATGCAAATTGGTGCTTAACAATAATTAGCGGAGGCAGCTTGGAAACCCAGCGAGCACCCTCCTCTAATTACTCCCTGGCTGCATTTCGAGGGCCTGATCGATCCCACTTCTGTCTTCAGGAGACTGGAATCCCGACCTCCTACGTCCTGAGACTGATGTTCGATAGGATAAAAAACAGCCATCATCTGAGGATTAAAAAAAAATAAAATCATATTAAGGCAGATGGAACGGACACAAGCATTGGGCCCATTTATCATTTCCCGGCAGCGACAAAATAGCTTACGGGGCAAGTCAGCTGGATGATTTTTCCTGAAAAAGGCATTACGCTAAGGGCCGAGACATCCACAAAATCCGTGATCCTGCCTCAGTAGGGACAGTCCTGACAGAACCCGCTCTGATTGGTCAGCATGTGTCTTACCCATTGAACTAACCGCTCAGACCACCTATCGCTTATAGTCCTCTTAATATTTTTCATATGTAGCTGTTTCTGCACAGCCCCGATGTGTCAGACCCCATATTAGATGCTTTGCATCTTTTATTGCATTTTGACAATCACTTTCTGAGAAAGGTACGGTTATCACCATTTTGCATATAAGGAAACGGAGGCACAGAGAGCTAATAAATGGTCCTACAAACACATTGCATAGCATTTGTCAGAACTGCTGGAATACAGAATATGGTTGCGTCCGTATAAACTCCAAAATGACCAGGGAAACAGTTAAATGGTTGCCTTGCTGTTGATGAGTCAGTAGCATCCTTGAAAAGGTGTAGTATGTATCATAGCGTATGTGTCAATGCCTGTGTTTTGAGCAGCTGTTTCTTAAAGGGACAACCACCCCTTTCCTTTATCTACTGGTGGCTTGACCAGCAAATTGCAGGACGGTGGATTAAGATTATGCTGTGGGAGAGGGTGGAGCAGCAGTTAGGTCAGGTATGAAGTCTAGTCTGGCTTCCTGGGCTTCTCTCCTTGACATTATGAAGGTAGCTGTTTGTATTGCTTAATTCTAAAAAGTTATTAATTGCATGATAAACTGTCGTCATGACTTAACTCCTTTTGTGATGATAACAGCTTTATTGAGATGTGATTCATTTCAAGCGTGCCATCCACACACTGTGCTATTAGAATTGTGAATACACCACTCGAGAGCATTCTCATTGCCCTAAAACAAAACCTAGTACCGAGTATTTGCAGTGTGACCGACTTCTTGTATTTTGAAAAGGATTCACCGCAAATACATCTTTTCGATGGATGCTTGGGACCGTTTTTTATGTGTGTGTGTGTGTGTGTGCGCGCGCGCGCACGCGCTAATTACAAGCACGGGGAGAAAGTAACTTGCCCTGCATTTAAAAAGTTGTCATCCGGCTCTCACTGGTTTGGCTCAGTGGATAGAGCATCAGCCTGCGGACTGAAGGGTCCCAGGTTCGATTCCGGTCAACGGCATGTACCTTGGTTGCGGGCATATCCCCAGTGGGGGGTGTGCAGGAGGCAGCTGATTGATGTTTCTCTCTCATCGATGTTTCTCTCTCTCTCCCTTCCTCTCTGTAAAAAAAATAAATAAATAAAAATCAATAAAATATATTTTAAAAAAAGTTATCAGCTGCAGGAATAAAAGCCAACCCTCCGAGGCAGTGCCAGTGTGTTGGTGGTTTAAAGGGGTGATCCCTTTATTTCCATTTTCCCTTGCGTGGGGAGCTGATCTAAGGAGATCTGTTTCAATCCATGGAGCATATTCGGGCAGACATCTTGATGAGATCTTCAGGCAGTTAGGCCATATGCTGGAACAGACTTGCAGGCAATCAGCAGCAAGCCGGACGATTTAAACGTATTTGAAAACAACCCTTTTCTCTTAAAGAGACAGTCTGGCGACTCCACTTTGAGGTCAACGAGACCACTGCCTATGGGTGTGAATAGCAAAATCGAGAAACAAGGAACCATTTTGCCCATAAGCAGAATGGAATGTCAGCCTGTGACCTAGGGCCTCTGGGGATAATTCCACTTCCTCCCTGCGCAGAGGACACCAGTTTCCTTCCCAGGAGGTCATTGGCGGGAGGTGTAGGGTTACCATGGAGTCCAGATTCCAAGAGAAGCTTGAAATGTAATTGCCCTGCTGGTTTTGTTTAGCCGCAAGGTTCCTCTTCTGCGGAGGCCATAATGAGGAAATAATCGCCCGAGTGGTGGTGGGGTGACCCATGCAGACAAAGATGAACTTTTTCTCCCCCTTTCAGACGGGGAGGGTGGCCGTCATTACGACTGTCATCTCTCCCAGACACGTTTGTCTTGGTGGCCAACCGAAGGAGACAAGGATTGCTGGGTCAGTCCGTGTTCCCGAATCCCGAGACATAAATCAAAGCGGAGCGGTCCAGCCTTCAGATTGTCTGTGACTCTGTCAATGGCCTTGAGGGCGTCCCCTCTGGCCCTCGGGCAGAAGGCTGCTTGTTTGTACTCAGGGATGGAATTGGGCTCCCCATTCCCAAATGCTTTGTTGACTTTGCAGCCGTAAATAATTCCAGCGAAAGGACTGCAGCAGAGCCCGCCCGAAGCCATAGATGTTTCCATAATGTCATCCCCGCCTCTAGGCCAGCTCAGAGCAGCCACACACAGGGAGCGCTCAGACCCTGCCTGTCTGGGCTGCTTTCTAGTACTGGGCGAGCGGGAACCTCCATCATCCCTCCCGCTGATGCCTTCACCTGAACTTGAACCCGCACGGAAAGAATGGAAAGTGTTGATAAAAACACCTTTCCCCGGTCTCAAAATAGAAACGCAGAGTCTTGCCAAAACTGGTTTGGCCAAGTGGATAGAACGTCAGCCTGCGGACTGAAAGGTCCCGGGTTCGATTCCGGTCAAGGGCATGTGCCTTGGTTGCGGGCACATCCCCGGTAGGGGGTGTGCAAGAGGCAACGGATCGATGATTCTCTCTCATGGATGTTTTTAACTCTCTATCCCTCTCTTCCTCTCAGTAAAAAAAATCAATAATATATATATAAAGTGCATAATTTTGAAAAAAAGCTCCCCACTCCCCTCCCTTTTTTCATTTTCCTAACAAAAAGTTCTGGAAAACCAGCTTTTGTCAGAATAAATGTTTCTGTTCAAGGCATCTAGAAGCGTATAAAGCGCTGCAGCATTCTACATCTCTCAAAGGCGAGGCTGCGTTTAAGTCTGACCTCTGTCCTTGCTTGTTGGTTCGGCCTAAGGCAGTGGTCGGCAAACTCATTAGTCAACAGAGCCAAGTATCAACAGTACAACGATTGAGATTTCCTTTGAGAGCCAATTTTTTTTAAACTTACACTTCTTCTAATGCCACTTCTTCCAAATAGACTCCCCCAGGCCGTGGTATTTTGTGGAAGAGCCACCCACCCCAAGGGGCCAAAGAGCTGCATGTGGCTCGCGAGCCGCAGTTTGCCGACCACTGGTCTAAGGTGAACACAGGGAATTTCTGGAAAGACGCTGTGAAATGTCAACATCTTCACATTGCCTGTATGCAGGGATACCAGCTTTTACCCAGATATTCAAGTTTCTTTGTCTAATTTCTCATTCCGATTTAAAAACTTACAAAAATTAGCATGTAATGTTCCTTAATGAGGGAGACATTTCAGTTTTATGCAATGTGCACATTCTATTTTGGGATTTATTTTGATCAGGAAACAGCCCTTTTGGTGAATGAAGGCAGCTGGATAATGATAATATTAGTTCTGCTTCATTCACATGCCGTATTAGATAGCAAAGGATAACATGCAAAAAGTGTTAGACTAGCTCTAGGCAGTTTTGCTCAGTGGGTAGAGCTCTGGCCTGTGGGTGGAAGGGTCCCGGGTCTGATTCTGGTCAAGGGCATGTGCCTCAGTTGCAGGCTCCGTCCCAGACTCTGGTTGGGTCACATGCAGGAGGCAACCAATCAAAGTCTCTCTCTCTCTCTCTCTCTCTTATTGATGTTTCTCTCTCTGTCTCTCCCTTTCACTCTCTAAGAAAATCAATGGAAAAATATCCTCTGGTGAGGATTAAAAACAACAAAAAAGTGTTAGACTAGAGTCAGTGTTTTCTTCAGTCTGCCACGAGCCTTTATGCTGGTAAAGAACACACTGCTAAATGTGTTTCTGCTCTCCTGATTTTAAGGAAACTTTATAATTTTGGAAGAATAGTCATTTTGTGAGTCATTTGAGGGCTCAGCAAGAATATTTGGACTGGTGGTTCCGTCTCTTTTTTTAAAAAAAATCTTTTATTTGATGTGTGATAGCTGTGAAAGGCACACTTTCCCTGACGCGTGGTGATGTGTTGGTTGCCAGCACATTTTCCCATGGGGCTGTGGCCGCTGCTAAATGCCTGGGTACCTATAAGGCAGCGGACTCCTGAGTGACAGCAGCTTCTAGAACTTCCCCGGGGAAGGGACCCACAGCCACTAGTGTTCGTGTGCAGTACCCGCTGGATCCGCCCAGGTCAGCCTTTCTGGTCCTTCAGCCCCTTAGCAGAGGGATCATCGCTATACAGCCATGCAGGCTGGCAGAGGGTCCGGCTTTCTCTCCATTTGTTGTGTTCTTAGCTTCCCTCCTTCTTAGCACATTCAGCTACCTGTCCTCCACCCAGGCCGTGGGCCGCACCAGCAAAGGAAGGAAAAGGACAGTTGCTCAGGTAACACAGAGCCCAGCCCAGCTCATCCCAGCCCAGCCGGTGTGGCTCAGCGGTTGAGCGTCTACCTATGAACCAGGAGGTCGAGGTTTGATTCCCGGTCATGGCATCTGCCTGGGCTCCGGCCTTGATCCCCAGTGGGGAGCATGAAGGAGGCGGCCGATCAATGATTCTCTCTCATCCTTGATGTTTCTCCTTCTCTCCTCCCTTCCTCTCTGAAATCAATAAAAAATATTTTAAAAAACGAGAAACAAGGAAATCATTTGCCTATTCTAGGTTTGTATCTGACAAAATAATCTAGATGAGGCTCCCGAAAGACTTTGGCCATTGTCCTATACGTTCCAGATGACCTCTCCTCATCCCCTGGGTCAGTGGTCGGCAAACTGCGGCTCTTGAGCTACACACGGCTCTTTGGCCCCTTGAGCGTGGCTCTTCCACAAAAATACCACGTGCAGTGTGATTGAAACTTCGTGGCCTATGCGCAGAAGTGGGTTTTCGGCCTGGGTGAGTCTATTTTGAAGAAGTGGCGTTAGAACACTCAAGAGGCCAAAGAGCCGCATGTGGCTCGCGAGCCACGGTTTGCCGACCACTGACCTAGGTCCTTAATGCTCCACCCCGTGTTCCTGGTCAGTCCCAGATGAAGAGCATCCGATGGTCCTTGTCCTGCCTGGTGTTACTCTCTGCTTGCGGCGTTTTACTCTACTATCTGCTTCCGGCGTTACTGTCTGCTTCCGGCGTTACTGTCTGCTTCCAGGGATACTATCTGCTTCCGGCATTACTGTCTGATTACAGGGATACTATCTGCTTCCGGTGTTACTGTCTGCTTCCGGCGTTACTGTCTGCTTCCGGCGTTACTCTGCTTCCAGCGTTACTGTCTGCTTCCGGCGTTACTGTCTGCTTCCGGCGTTACTGTCTGCTTCCAGGGATACTATCTGCTTCCGGTGTTACTGTCTGCTTCCGGCGTTACTGTCTGCTTCCAGGGATACTATCTGCTTCCGGCGTTACTGTCTGCTTCCGGCGTTACTGTCTGCTTCCAGGGATACTATCTGCTTCCGGCATTACTGTCTGATTACAGGGATACTATCTGCTTCCGGTGTTACTCTCTACTTCTGGTGTTACTCTGCTCGCTGCGTGTCTTGCTCACTAGCCTGGGAGCTCTACAGGCAGGTGGTGTTCCCCTGCTTTTGCTTCTCAGGGCCCAGCCCTGGCTCCATGAACAATGACTGGATCTGTGAAACCGTTACGGGTCGGAATCTCCTCCTCCGTCACGTATTTTTTGTGGTTGGCAACTGTCAGATGCATGTGGGGAAATAGATGACTCTGTCAGCATGTCAGCATGAGTGCCTCCCCATGAGCACGGCCCATTTGCTCCTAACTACTCTTCACGCCCCGAGTTTCCCCCCATTTTGACCAGCCTAGAAAGATACCTTACGGACGGAGGAAGAAAAATGGAAAGCAGGGAACGTGTAACGTCTTAGATGCCTAGGAACCTGTCTTCCGTTTTTCAAGTCTAAGCGGAAGGCACCAGTTCCATTTTGCTAGGAACTCAGAGGACCTTTTGTGTATCCTATTTATGGCAGAACCGGATGGTGCCTTTAAGAGGATGTCTGGCTGAAACCGGTGTGGCTCAGTGGATAGAGCGTCGGCCTGCGGGCTGAAAGGTCCCAGATTCGATTCCGGTCAAGGGCATGTACATTGGTTGCGGGCACATTCCCAGTGGGGGGCGTGCAGGAGACAGCTGGTTGATGATTCTCTCTCATCGACGTTTCTAACTCTCTATCCCTCTCCCTTCCTCTCTGTAAAAAATCAATAAAAAAATATTTTAAAAAAGAAGATGTCTGTTATTGGCTGAAAGACACATTGTCCTGATCTTTAGAGTAGCCTGAGCTGGCAGAACTGTGTCTAGCATGGTGGAGCTAGCGGTCCCAGCAGAGGCTGAGGCCTGACTCTGATCTCGATTGGCTTGTTGGTGTCTTTCTCTGACCCTTGAACTTGGCTCACCCCCTCAGCGTGGTTCTTGCCTCTCAGTCCAGATGTGATGTGCTGGCTACTCCCTGCGAGAGCTTTGGAGGGCCAGTCTGTTTTCTCTCTGGCTTCCTAGACTGTATACTCCATTTAGACCTAACTTACTGACCTTGTTTGGAAAGGCACACCTCTTTGGTTCAGTTTACCCAATAATAGTGAAACCGTGGATTTACTTCCAGACGCAACCCAGAGAAGTTGGGTCCAATCACGTCGAAGCAAGGAGAAAGGGTGATTGGTCCATCAGGAGGGGCTCAGCAGGCAGATCCTGCTTGCATCAGAGGACAGTTAGGCATTTGGGAATGCAGTTTATTTTTTTAAATAATGTTTTTGTTGATTACGGAGAGAGGGAGAAAGGGATAGAAACATCAGTGATGAGAGGGAAAGAATCACTGATGCACATCTCACACTAGGGACAGAGCCTACAACCAGGGCACATGCCCCTATCTGGAATGGAACCGTGACTTCCTGGTTCATAGGTCCATGCTCAACCACTGAGCCACGCTGGCCAGGCCTAGTTTATTTTAGCTGACCTTTGAAGCTGAAGGAGTTGCTGACCTCTACATTGAGTTAATTTTAAGTATTATGAGGATGGAAAAAATAAAAACACCCAGCTTCTTGATGCTCATGTAACTCACAGCACGGCTTCTAACAGTACAGAAAGACGTTGTTGGCTGAATCCTGTCCTCCCTCCAGGATATCCAGGTGTCCTCCCCCTTAGTGCCCTGAAAGTAACCTTACTGGAGACAAGTTCTTTATAAAGAGGTAATTAAGTGAAGATCTTAATTAGGGGGGCCCTAATGCAGCATTCCTGGTGATGTGGTGAAAAGGGGAAACTTGAAGACTTAAGACAGACCTGTAAGGAGAAGGTGGTGTGAAGAAGTGCAGAGAGGAGGTGGCTGCCTGCAAACCAGGCGAGAAAGGCCTCAGAAGGGGCAGCCCCGCCAACACCTTGACCTAGATGTCCGGCCTCCAGAACAATAAGGAAATGAACTTGGGTGGTGGAAGCCCCCAGGCTGTGCATTTTGTACGCAAAGACCTAGCAAAGATTTTTTTTTAAAATTTAGAATATATATTTTATTGATTTTTTTACAGAGAGGAAGAGAGGGATAGAGAGTTAGAAACATCGATGTGAGAGAACCATCGATCAGCCGCCTCTTGCACACCCCCCACTGGAGATGTGCCCGCAACCAAGGTACATGCCCTTGAATGGAATCGAACCCGGGACCTTTCAGTCCGCAGGCCGACGCTCTATCCACTGAGCCAAACCGGTTTCGGCCTAGCAACGATTTTTGATTAAGGAATGTTTGTCATCCAGAACTGTGGTACCGAGTCTTTAAAAAGAAACAGGTGCCTAGATGAGAGACGTTTGAAAAAAAAACGTGGGTTGTTTAAGTAGGAGATATGATCTGTAAGGAAGATCCATGAGCCAGAACCCGGTCCAAGCAAAACTCCCACCTTCAAGAAAGAGGATGACTAAGGGAGCAGTAATTCTTCCACCTGGGCTTGCGCAGCCTGGGGCTACGCAGGCAGGCTCTCTCTCCCTTTCTCCGCGGTCATGGGAACTGCTGCCTTTTCCATAGTCAATTGGGAAACAACAGTCGCGGAGACGTTTGCAAGCGCACACCGGGGGATTGGGCTACCTCTGCTTGGCCCGAAACGCATCCAAGGGATCAAGAGTCACAAAGAACACCATACGGCTGGCTTTTCTGCTTCTCGGGACGCTTCCTGAGTGCCTGCTCTGTGCCAGCTGCTGGCTGGGCGCTGGGGTCAGGGCACGGTTGACTAGAAAGCACACAGTCCCTGCCCACACGCCACTTGGGCCCATTGTTGCAGAAGGAAGCTTAGACCTGAGCAGTGTGGGGGTGGGGGCGAGGTCGCTGCTGGAGCTCAGATTCCCAGACACAGGAAAGCAGTGTTTCGGTTATTTGAGTGGCAGGAGGCTGGGGAGGGGGGGAGGGGACCGTGGGGAAGGGTTAGGGAGCTGGCAAAGACAAAGGGCCCTAACCCAAGTATTGGAGTCAGCCAGGGCTCTTGGGAATGCACCGGCAGCGTGGTTCGCTCCCCCAGTAGAAACTTGCCTGGTTTCCTGTTCTCTGTGAACTCAGAAAGAAAGGGATGGACGGGCTGCTGGGGGAGACGGCCCATCGATGTTTCTGTCACTCTCCCTCTCTCTTTCTCAAATCAATAAAAATATACTTTGGAAGGAAGGAAGGAAGGAAGGAAGGAAGGAAGGAGGAAAAGAAAGAATGAAAGAGGGATGGGCTTTGAATAACAATGTGCTTTTATTGCTGATTCTTCCCTGAGCCAGAGGGGAGAAGGCGTGAACCCCAAGATTGGAGGAAAAGAGAGTCTTTAAAAAAAAAAAAATATATTTTTATTGATTTTTTTACAGAGAGAAAAAGAGAGGGGTAGAGAGTTAGAAACATCTATGAGAGAGAATCATCGATCAGCTGCCTCTTGCACACCCCCTACTGGGGATGTGCCCGCAACCAAGGTACATGCCCTTGACCAGAATCGAACCTGGGACCTTTCAGTCTGCAGGCTGACGCTCTATCCACTGAACCAAACCGGTTTCGGCTCATCGTTGATATTTCTATCTTTCCTTCCCTCTCCCTTCCTCTCTGCAATCAGTAAAAATATGTTAAAAATAATAAAATTTAAAGGCATGATTGATGGAATCATTGGTCGTTGGTGAGTGACCTCAGTCTCCGGCCATCCCTCACTAGGCTGGGAGTGCGACTGAACGGAGACGAGACAGCCATCAGAAGCAGAGCAGCCACCAAGCACCTCACTGGGTCTTTTGAATAACAGAGGCAAAAGGAATATACATGCATGTCAACCTGTCGCAGCCCACATGATGTAGTGAGAGAAAGCCAGAAATTCCGGTTTGAAACCCTAGAATTTCCTGAGTTACAACCCTGGGAGAATTGCTTAACCTCTCTATGCCTTCTTCCCTAGCTTATGAAATAAGGAGAATAGAGCTGTTAGGAGGATTACCAGGTGTACCAGTTAATAATGCGGATTTTTTTTTTCTCTAGATGGAGTTACACATATGTTGATATATATGCGATTTGATATGTCTGCTATTTTGTTGTATTGACAACAAGCTTCACATCTTCTTATGTCAAGTTTTCTGAAGGTGTTAACCTCATAGATATTTTTATGCTTAAAAATGCCGAATTTCGTGCCAAACAAAGAGCATTTGCGGGAAGTTTTAATTCATTTTGAAGAAAAGTGCTGCCGAAAGTTATCGTATACTTCGGGAAGCTCATTACTTCCAAATAAAGCAATGAATTAAAACTCCCCGCAAATGCTCTTTGTTTGGCACGAAATCCGGCATTTTTAAGCATAAAAATATCTATGAGGTTAACACCTTCAGAAGATCTGACATGGGAAGTTTGAAGCTTCAAAAAATGGCATGCATACCAAATCGCATCTATATCAACATGTGTGTAACCCCATCTAGTGAAAAAAAAAAATCCGCATTATTAGCCGGGACGAAGTGCTGATCGTCCAGAATGGCCGTAAGCAGGACTGCAATCAATGGAAATTGTGTTGCTTTGCCACACATTTCTTCCCATGTCTTCGTTTCAGGCTTCAAGTTGTCCCCACGCCAACGGGCCCCCTGTACTCATCAGACTCGCTGTTGTGACTCCGGGTGGTGACAGGGAGTGGCTCGGGGTCTGGGGCCCCGCCAGGCAGCCAGCGGCTTGCCTAGGATGGAAACTCTCCCTCCGCGAGCACTGTCAGCCGCTCTCAGCGAGGTCTCCCCGGGAGAGGCCTCCTCGCAGAATCCGAGTTCTTCAAAGGACACGAGCAATTGCGCGCTCGGAGCCGACAGCCACGACGCCTGCCAAGAGCAGGGCTGCACACAGCCGGCCGGCCGTCTGGTTCCGCTCGCCCGCGCTCCGACCCCCTGGGGGAAAGTTTCCTGTAAGTGTGGGTGTTAAAAAACGGCCTGTTTTGGTGGTGTTTTTGATACGCACGACTCCTTCCAGAGACAGACAGAGGGAAAGCCCGCCAGAAACTCATCGCCGGGGAATCGGTAATATCAAGAGCTGCATCCTGACACCGGCAAGTCCTGATCTATGCTCTGTGCCCCCCTCCCACCCCCAAACCCCTTCTCTGGCCTCCAGCTCCCAAGCTGTAGACATTGCAGCCGAGGCGCTAGGCAGCAAACGCTTCCAAAAAGCTGCCTTGGCTCAGCAGGCCCGCCCATGCGAAGGATGGGGCGGGATCCAAGGTAAACAGGCTGCGTTATCACACCAGACTTTTCTTGGCTCCTGCAGCCCGTTTCCAGCCCCAAAAACACATTTTTTTTTTTGCGTGCGGATAACAGACAGGCGGTCACAGCGTAAACACAAGAGGCGTTTGCAGGTGTTGTGTTCCTTTGTGGTCGCCAACCAGATGTTCTTTCCTGGGCCTTGCGATTCGGGCCCCCGTGGGCGCCCCAGGCCTAGCAGAAATGTCCCTCCCCCTCGCCCTTCGCAGTGAAATAAGGCAAGGCTCTCATCGGAGATGTCCCCGGATGAGCCTTAGATTCATCCCATTTGTAAACGATCCATCGGCGTGTGAGTCTATTTTTCTTTCTCTCTTCCCAATCTGGATTAGACCAGTCAACAATAAACCCGTAAATCTTGGCCTTAAGCGACGTGACTACTATGGGAGAGCTGTCAAAGTAACCCCAGCCGGCGTGGCTCAGGGGTCGAGCGTCAACCTGTGAACCAGGAGGTCAAGGTTGGATTCCCGGTCAGGGCACAGGCCGGGATTGCGAGCTTGGTCCCTCCTGTGGGGGGTGCAGGAGGCGGACAGCCGATCAGGGTGATTCTCTCTCATCATGGATGTTTCTATCTCTCCCTCTCTCTCTGAAACCCATAAAAAATATTTTTCAAAAAAGTCCCTCCTTTTAGCCGAAACCGGTTTAGCTCAGTAGATAGAGCATCGGCCTGCAGACTGAAAGGTCCCAGGTTCGATTCCGGTCAAGGGCATGTACCTTGGTTGTGGGCACATCCCCAGTAGGGGATGTGCAAATGGCAGCTGGTCGATGTTTATCTCTCATTGATGTTTCTAACTCTCTATCCCTCTCTCTTCCTCTCTGTAAAAAATCAATAAAATACATTAAAAAAGAAAAGTCCCTCTTTTTAAAAATAATTTAAAAAAAAGGAAACTTAGCTGCAAAAGTGGTGCTGGAGACCCCGTGCTTTGGTTTGGGGAGCAGTGGACGCCCCGCCCACTGTGCTCCCAAGCCAAGGACAGTGCTTGGGCGACACTCAGGGTCATGTGGACAGCACGCTCTCTCTGTTTGGCTGATTGTGCAGTGGATCCTGGGGTCCGGAGAAGTCTTGAGTGTTTCTAGAACGTCTGACACATTGAGGGAGGCAGTGAGGTGAATGGACTGGGCTTAGAAACCCAAATCCTTCGAGAGCCACGCTGACATTCAGTTGAATGTGTCATTGGACTAGAAAGATTCCGCCCGGTTCCTGCTGAACAGGACTCGGCCCGAGTGCAGGACTAGCTGGCCATAGCAGCGGGCAAATGGCACAAACCTCTTTTGCTATTAAACCTTAGGATTCCTGGGTCAGAAAGGAGTGTCTTACTCCTCCATCCCACCTTCCCCAGTGCCAAGGAGCATCAGGCCATTGCTCCTCAGTCACTAAGACTTTTGAAAAAAATATATATTTTATTGATTTTTTACAGAGAGGAAGGGGGAGAGAGAGAGTTAGAAACATCGGTGAGAGAGAAATATTGATCAGCTGCCTCCTGCACACCCCCTACTGGGGATGGGCCTGCAACCAAGGTACATGCCCTTGACCGGAATCGAACCTGGGACCCTTCAGTCCGCAGGCCGACGCTCTATCCACTGAACCAAACCGGTTTTGGCCAGTCACTAGGTCTTAACACCATCCAGGTTTCCCAGGCAACTTGTCCTCGGCCGATGATCAGTGATCGGGTCCTAAATGTCCTAGAGATAAAAGCTGACTGTGGACCATGCACACAGCGTGGCTGGCTGCTCTCAAAGTTCAATGTCACATGTACTGAGTGCTCCTCAAAGCTCTGTGGTTATGAGATCTCATTTGTGATCTTCTTTGATCCTTATTAATAACACCTCGTGCTTCTGTAAGTAGTTGTGGTTTATAAAACACTCTGCCTTACTTGATTCAGAACGCATTTATGAGGCAGGTTGAATTAGGCCCCCTTGACAGGTGAATTACCTAGTTCTCGGTAAGGTCACGTGGTTTAACCAAATGGTACTTCTCCAGTCAGTGGCAAAACCCAAATTTTAAACTGTAAATCCACGGCTTTTCCCAGCAGCCTGGGAGTTTAGTGGGGGTAGTGCCACTGTTTACATGTAACAGATGAGAACATGGAGCAGCAATTAATATATTTTATTGATTTTTCACAGAGAGGAAGAGAGAGGGATAGAGAGTCAGAAACATCGATGAGAGAGAATCATTGATTAGCTGCCTCTTGCACACCCCCTACTGGGGATGTGCCCGCAACCAAGGTCCATGCCCTTGACCGGAATCGAACCTGGGACCTTTCAGTCCGCAGGCCGACGTGGAGCAGCAATTAAACAACTTTGCTCGCAAATAGTAATTTGTGACCGAGTCTAAGAAATAACCTGCTTTTAAAAAAAGATTTTTTAAAATTGATTTCAGAGAGGAAGAGAGGGGGAGGGAGGAGGAAACATCCATGGATGAGAGTGAATCATGGATCAGCTGCCTCCCGCACGCCCTACACTGGGGATTGAGCCTGCAACCCTGGCATGTGTCCTGACCGGGAGTCGAACCGTGACCTCCTAGGTCATAGGTCAGTACTTACCCATTGAGCCACACCGGCCAGGCTAACCCACTCTAAAGACATGGGTTGTATTCTGTTCATTTTGGTATTTCCCTGAAGGCATAGGAAAATGCCTGGTACAGGTTAAATGCTTCGATCTTGATTGGATGAGCAACCGATCGATTGGCTGAATGAGAGAGAAATAGAAGCAGAATGACTGTTATTTTTCATTTATGAAAAAAGATGAGAGGTGGTTTATTGACAATTTTAGACCAATAGACATTCCTAGCATGACCACTTGGGTGGCGGGCTCCTGGAATACCAGCCTCTCAGCTCAGTTCCGGGCAAGTATGAGTGGTCCAGAAAGGTGCTGTTGACTGAATGAATGAAATGCATGAACACACGGTCTGAGATACCCCTACAAACATGGAGGTTGGCGATTGGCTCAATTTATTTAATCATCTAGCTTAGTGTGGAGGTCCGCATTTCTTTTCCCCGTCCCTGGCTAATCCCTGAGCACTGGGGACACTAATACCCTTAAGATAATGGTGAAAGATGATACAGGGAAGTTTAGCAACTTTGTGAAATATGATACCCAGGAAAGGCACACTGGTTATTTTTAAATCTGACTTTCCTTCCTGGGGTTTCCAGCATCCGAGATCATTAAAAATAGATAGCATCGAGACCATTTTAGACACCCGCGTTCCTTTATTTCCACCACTGATTTTGCTGCTTCTTCCTGTGGTTCTCAGAGGTTGAAGAGAAAAATCTCAAGGTCACGTTCAATGTCAGGCAGTCTCACTGCTCGGGGCCCACATTCCTATGTGAAGGCTGCTTGATTTTCACCGTCTGTCCCTTTTCGTGAAAAGGTGGTTTGCAGAACTATGCTAGGTGCAAGATTTAGGATTGAAAAATTAACCGAATCACTCAGGTGCTATTTGGATTTAAAATGCGTAGAGAATATCTAGCTACCGATCGATTGGCTGATGATCTATCTCTGTTGTTGGCAAACTGCGGCTTGCGAACCTCATGCGGCTCTTTGGCCCCTTGAGTGTGGCTCTTCCACAAAATGCCACGGCCTGGGCGAGTGTATTTGAAGAAGTGGCGTTAGAAGAAGTTTGTTTAAAAAATGTGGCTCTCCAAAGAAATTTCAATCGTTGTCCTGTTGATATTTGGCTCTGAGGACTACTGAGTTTGACGACCACTGATCTATCTGATGAATTCAAATTCAAACTTTTTAAAATGGATAGTAGGATTTCATCATCAAATAGATGACAGATTAATATTGTCTCATTAAAAAAAATACATATTTATTGATTTTAGAGAGAGAGCAGAAGAGGGAGAGAGAGAGAAACATCAAGATGAGAGAGAATTATTGATCTGTTGCCTTCTGTATGCTCCACAATGGGGGTTGAGCCCACAACCAGGAATGCACCCTGACTGGGAACTGAACCATGACCTCCTGGTTCATAGGTTGATGCTCAACCACTGAACCACCCCAGCCGGGCAACAGTGTCTCATTTGATCTTCATATTCTTTCCCATTAACAACCCATCTGGGACAGGCCTGAGAACCCTTCCTCACCCCCCATCAGTGCACCTCAAACCACATCCCCTGCTTATCTCCTTCTCATCACTTTGATTTGCTTCCTCGTGGCATTTATATTCATATCTGTTTC